CTTCTTCATATAATCCAGTTTCTTGGATTATTTGCTCAGCATACAGATAGAATAAATATAGTTAAAGGATACAACTGGTACACACCTTTCCTGATCTTAAAGGATACAACTCTGGCACACACCTTGCCCCTTGTTCTGTTTGAACAACTGCCTTTTGGTCTATGTACAGGTTCCTTATGAGCACACTTAAGTGTTCTCGAATACCCATTTTTCCCAAATATCCATAGCTTGTCATGACCCACATAATCGAAAGTCTTTGCATAGTTAACAGAGCACAAGTAAACATCTTTTTGGTATTCTCTGCTTTCATCCAAGATCCATCTAATGTTGGCAATGATATCCCTTGTTCCACATCCTCTCCTGAGTCCAACTTGAATTTCTGAAGTTCAATGTACTGTTACAACAGTGTTTGACTTATATTCTGCTACATTTATTTGCATGTGAAATTAATGATATTTCATGATTTCTGCAGTCAGTTGGGTCATCTCTCTTTGGAATATGCACAAATATGGATCTCTTCTAATTAGTTGGCCAGGTAGCTGTCTTCCAAATTTTTTGGCGTAGATGAGTGAGCACCTGCAGTGCTGCTTCAGTTTGTTATTGTCGTCCGTCAACTCTTAGAGCCTTGTTTTTTACCAATGCCTTCAGTGTAAGTTGAACCTCTTGCCTTAATACTGTCATTTCTTGATCATATGCTACCTCTTAAAATGACTGAACTTTGGCCATTTCTTTTAGGTACAGTGACTCTCTATGTCTGTCTGTCTTCTTTTGCTGCTTTCTTCATCATTAAATATTTTCCCCATAGAATCCTTCCATATTGTAACCCAAGGCTGAGTTTTTTCTTCAGTTCTTTCAGCTTGAGAGATGCTGAGCATGTTTTTCCCTTTTGGTTTTCTGACTCCAGGTTTGCACATTTCATTACAATACTTTATTTTGTCTTTTCAAGCTGTCCTTTAAGTTTTTCTATTCAACCCTTTTACTTCATCATTTCTTCCAATTGCTTTAGCTTCTGTATGCTTAAAAGCAAGTTTCAGAGTTTCTTCTAACATCCATTTTTGTCTTTTCTTTATTTTCTGTTTTTCTAATGATCTTTGCTTTCTTCCTGTATGATATTCTTGATGTCATTTCACAACTTTTCTGGTTTTTGGTCATTAGTGTCTACTGCATCAAATCCGTTTTTGCAATGGTCTCTAAATTCAGGTGGGATATATTCAAGTGCATCCTTTGGCTCTCATGGACTTATTTTAATTTTCTTCAGCTTCAGTCTGAACTTGCCTATGACCAATTGATGGTCTGTTTCACAGTTGGCCCTTGGCCTTATTTTGACTAATGATGGTGAGCTGTTCCACCATTTCTTCTCAGGGATGTGGTCAACTTTATTACTGTGTGTTCCATCTGGTAAGGTCCATGTATATACATTGCAAAAGGTATTTACAGAGAACAAATAAGATGGTGGAGAGGGTGGAAGTGCAGTGAGGAGCTCCATCAGCAACAACACAGAATAGTGGACCAAGCAGGCTTAGGGGATGGTCCCAGAACTCTGAACCACTTATAAAGGAATATTTACAAAGTTGGAAGGCATGCAGCCAGTGGAATTTGTAGCAGAAGCAAGAAATCCAGTGCTTTCTAATCAAAGGCACTCAGCTGTGCTCAGAGCCACCATCTTGGGTGAGACCTAACCGGGGAAGGATCAGAGTAGCCACGGATGCCTGACAGAACCGCAGAGATAAAGGAAGAAGAGTGAAAAGGGGAGCCCTCCTGATCACATCGTTCTGGAGGCAATCAGAAAACATAAAAATACCAAAAAACACACCCATCTAAGTTTTAAGGCCACAGCTAACCACTGAATATGCCCCCCAAACAGAAACAGATGACCATATCAGCACATATCCAGAAACAAGATAAAGTGACCGAGGCAAATGAGCTGGAGGTAGACCTACACTCCATACTGGAAGGAAGGCAGGCTTAGGAAATGCCTGAGAAGGAATTCAGAAAAATAATTATAAAATGTATCAAAACACTGTATGTACAATGGAGTTGAGAAAAATAAGGAAGAAGTCAGGAAAGCACTACAGGAGCAATCAAATGAGATAATACAGCATTGGAAACAATTCAAAACCTACAGAAAGAGATCCAAATGATTAATAATAGAATATCAGAAATGAACAATACACCAAAAGGGCAAAGGAGTAGAACTGAAGAGATGGAAGCCAGAACTAGTGAACTGGAAGATAAATCTCTCAATATCACTACAATAGAAGAACAAAGGATAAAAAGAGACAAAAGGGTAAAAAAAAATCTGAAGAAGGTCTAGGATTTATGTCGGACAACATGAAGAGGAATAACTTAAGACTTATCAGCATTCCAGAACAGGAAGAATCACACAAGTCCACAGAAGAGATAGTTGAAGAACTTTTGGAAGAAAATGTCCTTAACATCCTGAAAAGTTAAAAGATAAGCATCCAAGAAGCTCAACGAACCCCAGGAAGGATAGACCCTAAAAGAAAAACACCAAGACATATAATATCAAGCTCTCCAAAATCAAAGATAAGGACAGAATCCTGAAGGCAGCTAGCGAAAAGAGAAGTGTAGCATACAAAGGCAAGCATATCAGACTAAGCTCAGATTTCTCAACAGAAACCATGCAGGCAAAAAGGCCATGGGGAGAGATATATAAAACCCTGAAAGAAAAAACACAAGGATCCTCTACCCAGCAAAGCTGTCAATCAAATACAATGGTGTAATCAAAACATTCCAGGATAAATAGGAGATAATGGATTTTGCCAAAGCCAACCCTGCAATGAAAAACATCCTAAAAGGAGTTCTGTGGACTGAGAACAAACAAGAACAGACAACAACCAGAGATTTACATATGTGGCAGCATCACCCGGAAGTCAATCGACAAATGAAAGAGTTGAGAATAAAATAAAACTATAAGAACAAATTCAGAAGATCTGGGAGGTCAGTCTATGATCAAAACAATTACATTATGAAAGAAGGTAAACACAGAGGACCAGAGATCCAGTGGTGAGAAGGTCATGTAAATTACAGGATAAAATAGACTTGTCTCTCGGCTCTCCTCTTTTGGTCAGTCAGCAACTTCTGCTTAGGGTGAGGTCCAGCCACTTACGCAGGGGTGGGTGGGGTCAGGTGAGGGCAGTGTACAGCTGTTTTCACTCTTGTTTCCCATTCCTGGCCGTTCCCTGCTGTGCCCACTACCCAGGTTTTGTCCACTCTCTCCTCTT